TGTATGTATGTATGTATGTATGTATGTATGTATGTATGTATGTATGTATGTATGTATGTATGTATGTATGTATGTATGTATGTATGTATGTATGTATGTATGTATGTATGTATGTATGTATGTATGTATGTATGTATGTATGTATGTATGTATGTATGTATGTATGTATGTATGTATGTATGTATGTATGTATGTATGTATGTATGTATGTATGTATGTATGTATGTATGTATGTATGTATGTATGTATGTATGTATGTATGTATGTATGTATGTATGTATGTATGTATGTATGTATGTATGTATGTATGTATGTATGTATGTATGTATGTGTATGTATGTATGTATGTATGTATGTATGTATGTATGTATGTATGTATGTATGTATGTATGTATGTATGTATGTATGTATGTATGTATGTAATGTATGTATGTATGTAATGTATGTATGTAATGTATGTATGTATGTATGTATGTATGTATGTATGTATGTATGTATGTATGTATGTATGTATGTATGTATGTATGTATGTATGTATGTATGTATGTATGTATGTATGTATGTATGTATGTATGTATGTATGTATGTATGTATGTATGTATGTATGTATGTATGTATGTATGTATGTATGTATGTATGTATGTATGTATGTATGTATGTATGTATGTATGTATGTATGTATGTATGTATGTATGTATGTATGTATGTATGTATGTATGTATGTATGTATGTATGTATGTATGTATGTATGTATGTATGTATGTATGTATGTATGTATGTATGTATGTATGTATGTATGTATGTATGTATGTAATGTATGTATGTATGTATGTATGTATGTAATGTATGTATGTATGTATGTATGTATGTATGTATGTATGTATGTATGTATGTATGTATGTATGTATGTATGTATGTATGTATGTATGTATGTATGTATGTATGTATGTATGTATGTATGTATGTATGTATGTATGTATGTATGTATGTATGTATGTATGTATGTATGTATGTATGTATGTATGTATGTATGTATGTATGTATGTATGTATGTATGTATGTATGTATGTATGTATGTATGTATGTATGTATGTATGTATGTATGTATGTATGTATGTATGTATGTATGTATGTATGTATGTATGTATGTATGTATGTATGTATGTATGTATGTATGTATGTATGTATGTATGTATGTATGTATGTATGTATGTATGTATGTATGTATGTATGTATGTATGTATGTATGTATGTATGTATGTATGTATGTATGTATGTATGTATGTATGTATGTATGTATGTATGTATGTATGTATGTATGTATGTATGTATGTATGTATGTATGTATGTATGTATGTATGTATGTATGTATGTATGTATGTATGTATGTATGTATGTATGTATGTATGTATGTATGTATGTATGTATGTATGTATGTATGTAATGTATGTATGTATGTATGTATGTATGTATGTAATGTATGTATGTATGTATGTATGTATGTATGTATGTATGTATGTATGTATGTATGTATGTATGTATGTATGTATGTATGTATGTATGTATGTATGTATGTATGTATGTAATGTATGTATGTATGTATGTATGTATGTATGTATGTATGTATGTATGTATGTATGTATGTATGTATGTATGTATGTATGTATGTATGTATGTATGTATGTATGTATGTATGTATGTATGTATGTATGTATGTATGTATGTATGTAATGTATGTATGTATGTATGTATGTATGTATGTATGTATGTATGTATGTATGTATGTATATGTATGTATGTATGTATGTATGTATGTATGTATGTATGTATGTATGTATGTATGTATGTATGTATGTATGTATGTATGTATGTATGTATGTATGTATGTATGTATGTATGTATGTATGTATGTATGTATGTATGTATGTATGTATGTATGTATGTATGTATGTATGTATGTATGTATGTATGTATGTATGTATGTAATGTATGTATGTATGTATGTAATGTAATGTATGTATGTATGTATGTATGTATGTATGTATGTATGTATGTATGTATGTATGTATGTATGTATGTATGTATGTATGTATGTATGTATGTATGTATGTATGTAATGTATGTATGTATGTATGTATGTATGTATGTATGTATGTATGTATGTATGTATGTATGTATGTATGTATGTATGTATGTATGTATGTATGTATGTATGTATGTATGTATGTATGTATGTATGTATGTATGTATGTATGTATGTATGTATGTATGTATGTATGTATGTATGTATGTATGTATGTATGTATGTATGTATGTATGTATGTATGTATGTATGTATGTATGTATGTATGTATGTATGTATGTATGTATGTATGTATGTATGTATGTATGTATGTATGTATGTATGTATGTATGTATGTATGTATGTATGTATGTATGTATGTATGTATGTATGTATGTATGTATGTATGTATGTATGTATGTATGTATGTATGTATGTATGTATGTATGTATGTATGTATGTATGTATGTATGTATGTATGTATGTATGTATGTATGTATGTATGTATGTATGTATGTATGTATGTATGTATGTATGTATGTATGTATGTATGTATGTATGTATGTATGTATGTATGTATGTATGTATGTATGTATGTATGTATGTATGTATGTATGTATGTATGTATGTATGTATGTATGTATGTATGTATGTATGTATGTATGTATGTATGTATGTATGTATGTATGTATGTATGTAATGTAATGTAATGTAATGTAATGTAATGTAATGTAATGTATGTATGTAATGTATGTATGTATGTATGTAATGTATGTATGTATGTATGTATGTATGTATGTATGTATGTATGTATGTATGTATGTATGTATGTATGTATGTATGTATGTATGTATGTATGTATGTATGTATGTATGTATGTATGTATGTATGTATGTATGTATGTATGTATGTATGTATGTATGTATGTATGTATGTATGTATGTATGTATGTATGTAATGTATGTATGTATGTATGTATGTATGTATGTATGTATGTATGTATGTATGTATGTATGTATGTATGTATGTATGTATGTATGTATGTATGTATGTATGTAATGTATGTATGTATGTATGTATGTATGTATGTATGTATGTATGTATGTATGTATGTATGTATGTATGTATGTATGTATGTATGTATGTATGTATGTATGTATGTATGTATGTATGTATGTAATGTATGTATGTATGTATGTAATGTATGTATGTATGTAATACATTTATGTATGTATGTAATATATTTTTGTAGGTAGGCAGGTAGGTAGGTATGTATGGATGTATTCATGAATGTGTAGTGTTTTGTTTTATATATACTATAGAGGTTCGTATTTTCAGTTTTCTTTCTTTTTCTTTTTTTTTCTGGGGTACGGATGTTGCCAACGAAAGGATCTCGCGTTGGAGCCAGATTGCCAAATGGCATGTGTCCTTTGCACTTAGGCACCAGTCATGCGGAGGTGTCGACCACTTTATCTGCAAAGTATGCCCAGGTGATGCTGGGGGTGTCCACCGAAATGTAGGTGTCACCTGCCTTGAGAAAGCAGACAAGCGCCTCGTTTACTAGAACACAATTGATGCTGGGGATGTCAGACGCTGGTCCCGTACTCCCAAACGCCATCAGTACCTGGGACGGAACAGACGCAAAATGCGTCTTTGCGCATCCAGCGTCACCATGATAATAACTTATAAATTATTGTCGGTGTAACAATGATGTGTAGCTTTCCCGTGCACCCCCTCCCTGTGGCAAGAACAGGTCGGCGGACTAGCACAGGCCGGTGGAAGGGGAGGCAAGCCGTGCCCCAAGGATCCAGAGGTCACTTGGCTGCCCTTCTACCCAGTGAAAGCGCTCTCGCCGAAGGGGGAGCATATCTACGTCTCCAAGTTTGCCACGGCCTGAGGGGCGTAGCACCAAAGCAGTTTTGGGGTCTGTGGCATCCTGGAACTTTGGGTCGCACTGTTGCACCCCCTTTGGATCATGCAGCAATTCTTGGGCTGCAAGGTTGGCAAAGACCAAGAGCTTTTCCTGATGATCAACACCGCCTTGCACCACGCGGGCGATGAGGAGCTAGCATGTGAATCAACCTGTCTCAAGTGCCAAGACGCTATGTCAACTGAGGGTCGGAAAGAAATTATGGCACTCATCCGAGTTCCATCATCTTGCCAGTGATTCAGGGGGCCAAAGTCGAAAGCTTCGATTGGGCACCAAAACTGTCCGAAACACCCCGCCCAGAAGTCCCCTGGCTTTGTGGATGCCAGCGCGAGGACTGGATACTTCCGGTGCCGGATGCGAAGCATGAGGAGTTCTTCGATGTGCCACTCAGCTTTGCGCTGACGATTTGGAGGAAGATTTGAGCTGCAGCCAATAATCTATCCCCGCTGTGAGATACACTCCAATTTCCCATGCCAGTTGCAGCCACAATAATTTTGGCTTTGGCGTAAGCCAGGCGCCAGGCTTTTGAAAGGCTTGGCTTACCATGCGGAATGTGAGTTTCAGACGATGCCATTCAGACTTCCAAGAGATCTTGCGGAGAGTAAGTCAGGTATCGTGGTGCAGATGTGCGGCATGTCGAGCACGGCCACGAATGCAGCGCGGCAGGGAAGCAGGGAAGCAGGGAAGCAGGGAAGCAGGGAAGGGAGCTTCGGGCACAGGATGGGCTTTGTTGCCTTTTGGCAGCGTTCAACAAAGGCTGGCCCTTTTTGTTGTTGTTACTGGCCAGCCATTAACTTCAGGCCGCATGGCCAGTGCCCAGGTTTGATTGAGTCCTGCACGACGCGAGCGCACACGACGCAGCTTGGATTTAAAGGGAAGAGGCGTTTCTCGTATTTTCCTTGTTGAGTTTGCGTTTCGGTTCCCAGGTCAAGGGAAACATGTAAGGCATGAGGGAAGAGCCGAAAGGATCACATCAAGTGCCCAAACAGAAGTAGACAGCCGGAGGCAATGCCCACGCCGCCAAGGAAAACCCGGCTCCTACGGGTGCCCATGGAGGCGCGAGGCATCGGCGCCATCCTGAAAGTTCGCCGCTGGGACGCATCAGGCCCGCTTTGGAGTGGAGCCAAGTCGCGTGCGTGATGCGTGTATGGAGCCTTGCGTGTCCGGGTGCAGGTTGCCAATGATACGATCTATGTAGGTTCAGTCGGGCTCCATTCTGAAATGCTTCTTGCCAACCTTGCTCTTACTCTTCTGGAGCCTCTTTTCTCGGATTCTCTCTTCCTTGCCCTCCTTCTCCCAGGCCTTCCCCAAATTGGGCATGTCCGCTGGTGAATCTGATCGGCACAGACCGAGGCAGCGGCGAGATCACTCCCGCCCATCTGGGGCTGTTCCGCGAAATGGGCTCAGCAACCGATGCTCGATGGAATGAGTGGGGGTCGAGTTGGTTTGCACATGGCTTTTACATGCCTTTACCATGAAAGCAGGGCTCCGAGGAAAGTCGGGTCCCAACATCGGAGCATATGTAAGATCCCGTGCTTAGAGTTTGTGAGTAGGCAGATGAATAGCTAGTGTGCCAAAAGACCTCTCCTTGTTCTCATCTTGGTCATTTTGGCCGTGTTGAGCCGTGTTTGTGCAGTGCCCAGCTCATGGAAATCAGTGCATCAAAACATCAGCAGCTCAAGATGGCGGCAGTGTCTTGTGTTTGCAATAGAGTTTCAAGATGTCATTGGTGGCCACTAGGCCAAGGGTGTCCTTAACCAAAACTATCGCCCACATGACTTGCCTACATTCCGGAGAAAGACTCTTTGCCTGAACGGCTTGATGCTGGGTTTGATTGCAGAGCTGCCCAGGCAAAATGTCCATTGTTGGTACAGCATACTTCGGGCACGCGGTGGGAAAGGGGAGAACGCCAGTTGTGGGCAAACCACCCTCGCTTTATTTCTTGTAGTTGCCCTTGCTGTGTTTAGTGGGTAGTATGTCTCCGTTTGAATGCTCGCACATGCGTCCTCGTGATCCCTCAGCCGTCAGCGGTTGATGAGGCATATTGGTGCCATACGGCCATACGCTTGATGCAACACATCCCTCAGACGCGGATCATTGAACCTTCGGCTCCAGGTCAATGGTTCAGGATTTGTGTCCTAGTGAGGCCTGGAAACCTATTTCAGACATGTGACATGTTTGATAAACCCAGCAAACCAACCTGACAACTCTCGCAAGACACCTTTTGTCGCTTGCACGGCACATGCTTGCTGTGGCATCGTCCGCACCTAGGATAAACCCCTGCACTCCTTCTCAGAGGAGGTTCGGTGGGTATGGTGGGTGGGACGGGCCTTGGCCATGAGCGCACAGGAAGTTGCTTGCACATCCCCCCCCCGGAACCATTGTGACTGTTTCTTTTGTTATCATTGATGTGGACAGGGGGGTGGCTCAGACTGACATGTGAAGGTGGGTTTCCATTTTCCATTTCCTCTGAGGCCACCCCAAAGAGAGCGCAAACAAACACAAAGCAGGGACACCCATATGGAGGCACCGGTGCTTCTCAACTCCAGGTACTTCCCGTGAAGCAGAAGAGCGATGCTGGCGTTGCGGGATCGAAGCCCAGCACAAGTGGGATGGTGGCAGTGAAGGGGGGTCCCTTCGAATTCCGGGCGGCTCAGCAGAGGATTCCACAGCTGGGGCACAATGGCTGGGAGCTTTGAGGTCTTCCTGCTCGCTTTGCTTGCTGCGTAGGCTTGCCTTTTGTTTTGAGGTAGCTAGCAGGCCATTGGAAGCACCATGTGCCACCCTAGGGCGTCTAGCTTCTACCTTTGAATCCTTTTGAGGCGTTTCTATGGCGCTAGCTCAACAAATCTCCCCGTCCAAGGTGGTGGGCTCGATAATCGAAGACACCTACCACCACGGCAAGAATTTTGTGAAGCTCGGGGTGGATGTGCAGCATCTTGACGGGCAAGAGAACAGGGCGCGGGGCTGCGTTTGAATTGCAGGAGTCAGCATGCCACAGGCAGCTTTTGGCCATGCTTTTCTCCAGTTACGAAGCCTTGGTGTCAGACAAGGCCGCCACTTGATTGACGATTTGCTTTGGTTGAATTCTGCTGACAGGTAGGCTGGGCAGGAGTATTGCTTCTTGACAAGTAGCATAAGCTTGCAGCCCTGCGCAAGGTACGAATGGGAAGATGTGCCGGTGAAGTATCACAAGGCACACAACATAACCATCAAGGACTTGTGGGTGGACAAGCAGCCCGGCTTAGAGTCTAGATCTAGACGATTCTAGACGGCTTTCGAAGGTGGAAACAGGTGAGCAAGCAGCCATTCGATCGGGTCGACGGATGGGCCAAGGCATCCAGTGACCAATGAGCAGTATGCTGCCTTCCTAAGGGAGAGCTCCTTCGCACCGGTGCCATGAATGCAATGGGCCTTGAAAAGGTCATAAAGAGAAATCAGGATCCAGTGCCCGCAGGCTTCAGGCTTGCCGGGATAGGGAGAGGCTGCGTCATGCCACAGATGCATGATAAGGTGGTTCAGCACCTGTCGTGGCTAAGGGTGCCCGAGAGGCCATCGGCATAATCTCCCCTACCCTCACTCCCAACCAATTTGTGGACCCAACTTGTGGGGAAGATAGTGTTGGAACCAATCGCAAGTGTCTTCTTGTTTTTGCATAGCTAGGCAGGCCTGGCTGAGTGTTGGGTCCTTCAAAGTGGCACTCCTTTCGGCAAATTGCTGAGGCAGGCAAAGACTATGAGAACTTCCTGAAGCACTGGCGTTGCCCTAAACCTGACTGCCTGGATGCAAGCCTTGCCAAGCAGCCCGTGGTCTTCGCAGCTTGGTGAACATGTCCCCACCTCCTGAAAAATTGCAATGAAGGAGGTTAGCAGTTCCATTTTGCCCCTCTTGCGGGAAGAGAAGATTTGTGGAACTGGCCCCTGTGGCGTTCCTGGCTTATTGCGCTGGCAAACCTCATTGAGTGCATCGGGTATGAGTGGGGCTGCGGGATGGGGAGATGAAGCGGCTTTGGCCGCAAGCGGCAGCCCCCAGTTTCAAGCTGGTACCTCCCAGTGCCCTTCATCAAGACTACCTCCCCCCTGCCAAGGTCAGCCACTGGGATGCGGAACAGTACTGTGGCTTGGAAAAGGTCAGTCAGAGCATTGGTGTTTGAACGGAGGCACCTCGAAATGAGGGGTTCCGGGTTCCGGTCGCTGTTCCCTTCAAACAACTGAAAAAGGGCATCCTCAAAAACGGCAAGCAACTAGTTTCGGCCTCAGCTATGCAGTTTGCCAGAGTCGCTTGCTCAGTCGGATCAGTTTGTTCAAGCAGGGTCAGCCTTGGACATCGACTCCGGGGCGAGGCTTTGGTGTTGCATGCGTTCCCCGAGGTGTGCACTATGGGAAACGGCTGCCACGCGAGTGGGAATGGCAGTATGTCGCGCAGGCTCTTGGCACGGCTTGCTCTCAACTACACTTTGGCTGTTTTTTTGCCATGGGCAGCCCTTGTACTCTGGGCATGCGCCTTGCCAAGGGAAGCCAGGGCAGTTAGTTGACCCCTCGAAGCCGACACCGTCCCCCAAGTCTTTTTTCTTTTTCGGGTGGAGGGTCAGCCATTCCTCAAACGTCTCGGACCGCACAAGCTGACAACGCCAGGCCGGGGACCCGGAGAGGAGCTACCCCTGGGGCCAGTGGTGGTGGCCCGATGCCATGCCACCGGCCCAGGCCAACGCCAGCGCTTTTCACCTGGGCGCCCTGGTAAGGAACCACCTGGAGAAGGGAAGTCCCTTGGGTAAGATGTCACGAGCTTCTCTATGTGAAAATTGGATGGGGTCGACGGAGCAACAAGGAGGGACAGCGAGGGGGCATATTGCTGGAGATGCGTTTGCGGGTGACACAGACGAAATGGACGCTTGCCCCTTCTATGCCGAGAATCCAAGCAATGGGGTTTTCTGCTTTTCTATTTTCTTGGTTTGGTGGTGAACGATTTTGCCATTTGGATGAGCTTCGCCTGGTTGACAGCTGGCTTGTTTGCGGGCCGGTTAATGATTTTTGTTTTCGTACATGGGCAGCTGCCCCCCCAAAATCAATCTTGGCTTGCATTCCTTTAGGCTTTAACATCGCTTAGGCGGTCCTGGTAGTCATCTCTTTGTTTTGTTTGGGAGAATATTTGGAGGGTTGACTGACTGGCTGGTTGAATTGGTGCCATCCGTGGGCCCAGTGATCCAATCTGCTGCACAAGCCCTGCGGCGCATGCATTGCGCGCATGCCGCTTCAATATTTACCCACCAGCCTTGCCAGGCGCAAGAACTTTCTTTGGAGCACTATTCATCTGCCCTTGCAAGTCAACCCAGCAGCTTGTGTGAGCAGGCCTGTTCCCATCCGATGCCTTTCACAAAGCCTGCCCATGCCCAAGTGAGAAACCCGGCTAATCCAGCCACTCCCACCCTGTAACCGAATCAGTCCAACATCACAGGTAGCTCAATCACGTGTGAATGCAAACGCGCACGCGCACACGTACTGCCTCGCAGGCTTCTCATGGTTTGACCCCGGCCATGTCCTGCCTGTGCATAGGCAGATTGCAGTTTTCTCACACTCTGGTACCTTGGTTTGGCGTTGACCCGGTTCAGCGTCGAGCCATGTGCATCCTCCGAAGGCGACGTGGGACGCTTCCCAAATGGATCCAGCAAGGATGGCGTGGAGGACTTGGTCGGCTTGGTCTGGCAATGGACTGCTGACGCATGGCCGGCAGTGGAGTGAGGTGGGCAGAGTGCAGGGTTGTTTGCGGGTGGGGGGTGCCAGTTCAGCCACAGGCACTCGCCAAAATAAAGCCCATGAGCTGGCACCCGTAGCCGCCTTCTTAATATCAACAACTGCTCGTCTCTCTTCGAACTACTTGCGTCAGAGAGGGCCTGATAGGGCACTACCACAGTTGCCCAAAGTGGGTTTGCTTTGAGCACGCGCGCCTCATGGGCCATGACACCTGCCCAGGACATGTATTCCGACCCCTACAACAGGGCAGTCATCCTCAGAGGCTCGGAGTGCTGGTCTTGGAGTTTCTGTCAGATCTAGTCGCTACCCGAGAGGCTAATGGAGCGTGCAGACCTTGAAGGCTTGAAATGAAGGGCACTGGTTGGTTTCTACTGTATTTCTAAAAGCCACCAGCTGAGGGGTTCCCTTTGTTTTGAGAAGGGCAGACGGCCGCACCAATGCGCGGACTTCATGTAGCCGCAAGGTCCGCAGACAATCCAATCATGAATCAGCTGCGATTAGCTTTTGCCGAGCAGTTCGATCCGTCAGGAGGCTCGGTGTTCCAGCCCAATGCCCATGGAGCGCAGCAGAAGCGCTACCAGCCTTGGTACTTTCCGGGGCGTGCTGCTGCAGGACGACAATGCCGACCTTGGACTAATTGATAAATCAGGCAAAGGCGGATTCGAGCAGAGACACCTGGGGCTTATTAATCCTGTGTTAAAATGAGGCAACACTAGGCAGACCTTCGCAATGCGCTACGGGAACTGGGCGGGTGGCCAGGGGCCCTTTTTCTGCCCGGGTCACTGGGCAACTCTTTAACTTCAACCCAGAAATATGTTTTCGTCTAGTGGCGGGATTTGGCCATGGGGAGCGTGCATGTGCAGGAGAGTGGAATGCCAAGTGGACGGGGGACTACTACTTTGGGCCGAAGGACGCGCGAATGTATCCCACGGCTTCTGAATTCTGGCTGTTCAATGGTGACATGCATAACTGGGTGGGGCTGCGTTCATGCAAAGAATAATCCTGTGACAGCTAATTTCTCGGCAGAAAGTCTGAGCAGGTGAGAAGAAGGTTGGCCCTAGGCTTTTTCAAGGATGCCGCGTAGTAAACTGGGTAGTTGTGCTGGCACATGCCAGAGGCTTGGGTAGTTTTGAGTGGTCGCTTCACATTGGCAGCGACAAACTCGTACCGCTTTGGTGGCACGTACAGATTTCGCTGAAGGATATGACCAGGCAGCCCTACACTGCGCTGTGTAAGTACGTAGTTCATGAGTTGTTTGGCTCTCAGCAAGAGCCAGAATCTTTCCTCCAGGCTGTTCGCCGCTTGACTTGCAGCCGACCTGCTTGCAGGACTACGCCAGTTTGTACCGCAACACCGTCCACGCCAAGTATCTGCTGATGACTCCCTCATTGGATCGTGCTGGGACTATCGGCTTCCGATGCGTTGCTGACAAGTAGTCGGGCAAGCCGAGGCAACTGCTGCAAGAGGGCGCTGTAGTTGGCGATTTCGCCTGGCTATAGTGTCGCCTTCGCGCGGGGCGCCTGCAAATCAGCCTCATTTGGTTCCGATCAGGACAGGTTAGCCAAACACAGCCAGGGTGTCGATGAATCTGTGTGCGCCAAGCTTGCGGTGACAACTGGATTTTCAGCTTTTCAATATCGCGGGACTCCAAACATCACTCATTGCACCTTAGGGCGGGAGGCTATGGGCACTCTTGGTAAGGCCTGGTAAGGCGTGCGCTGTGCGCAAAGCGCAGAGTGCCAAGAGCCGGTCAGTGCGACCTTCAAGGACCAAAAGCTGAGCTGGGACAGGTGAGGATCAACAGCTTGGCCACAAGACTTGGCCATGGGCTTTGGGAGCTCTTTGGGGTCAACCAATGGAGATATTTCAAAACGCAGCCTGCCCCCTCAACAATTATCGCCACCTTCATTAATTTGCGAAGCCAGGCGTTGCCGACACCCAGCGGCGTGCCAGCCTTGGCCTACAGCAATGGCTGCACTCCTCCGCCACGAGTTCAAGCACCGTACATTTCTCCGACGTTTTCAGGTTTCCCCCTTTAGGAGCGGGTCATCTTGCAACATGGACAAGATATGGGTTGGGACTTGGTAGCGCGGGAGACCCTCTTAACGTTTTGTCGAATCAGCTCCACGAATGGTTTTCAGTTTTGGGCATGCTGGGTGTAAGGTGCCTTCAGATGTATTTTATGCACGTGCATCCCTAAGACATGGAGCCATTCGGCCACCACCAGCCCATAAAGTACAGTCTGCATTGGGAAGGGTGGTTGCAAATTCTGATGTTGCTTCCTGTTGGCATGGCGGCACGCCTTCTTGGGTAATGCTCTTCGCTTGGAACCAACGCCAAATTGTGAGGCGCCGGTGTTGCCACCGAGCCGCGGGCCGGGGCCTCCAGCAGAAGAGGGGCTTCAAGTGCAGCTTCACTGCGAGAGATGTCAAGGAAAAGGGAAGGCAATGCGTTACTCTTTTGCGCACCAGTTTTGGCACAGCCCATGCTGCAGACGTTTCTAGAGACGTTTCGGAACGGGCTCCTCGAACTTTTAGTGGCGATCCCTGGATGTGGCTGAGCTTTTGGTTGATCAGTTGCAACACTTTCCCCCGATGTTTGTAACGACGCGTTTCACGAAACGGCATGTTTGTGCCAACTTGAAGGGAGCTTTTCACAAAACCAGGGCCCTCCAGCATGCACATTTCAGTGGTGCAAAGGCACACCTCACTTTTCAGTGAACATGAGCTGCCAAAAGTGGAGATAACCCATGCACAATTGAAACGACCCCCCCCCCCCCGGGGCAGATTTGGAGCTTGAAGAAACGGCAGGCGGCGTCCTTTGAAGCAAGTCTCTTCGTGGCATGTTCAAGTCCACATCGTCAACTTAATGGAACCAGTGCAGATGACAGGGAACCAGTGCAGATGACAGACATCAGATGCAGATGATGAGCTGGCAAACTGTAGATCCAGTGTGAGTGTGGGGTCAGCGCATATCTTTCCACAGATGCATGTGTACATGCCTGGCCGATGTAATGTGCATCAGCGGTGGCATGGACGACACTACGTTTGTTTCGTGCTTGTGTGCTAGAGTCGTCGCCAAGCTTGCCTACCCTGGCAGTAGTCCCTCCTTTGCTCTTACAGTACGGATAGCCAAAACCTGCCAGTTACAGCTGCCAGCTTCAGCTGTCCGACCGAGGATGCGCCTGGCACAGGAGTGGATTTCTGGCTACAAGGCTGCTGTGTGCTTGATTCGGCGATTGAAGGGATATTGGCAAGGATCGGGCATATGCCGCTGCGACTCACCAGGTGCAGCCCCTTTCACAGACACGTCTCGCCTACGCACCGGGGCTGGCGCCAGAGCCTTAGGGCAATGGCATAAGGCAGTTACAAGAGCGGTCCCGCACTCAAATTGTTGAAAGGCCCCCCAAATGTTCTGTTCTGTGAAGCTATGGTCCCTGACCTTGGCACTGCTGCACGCGCGATGCTCGCCATGTCTATCAGATCTAGCAATTGCAAGCACCCCACCCTTATGCCAACCAACGTTCTCCAATGCCTTTGAGGTTGATCTGGCCCTGTGTGAGTTGAGGCTGCCATTCATCACTCACAGCCACCCTCCTTTCTTTCGATCAGTTCCCGGCACCCGGAAATCGGAGGTCTCTCTCCCTACTTGGCATCTAGCGCAGCCGAGCGAAAGGCCCCCAGCCTTGGTGAAAGGCCTCTGGACATCACCAACTTCTCGGGGAACTTCCGTACCAGCGCAGAGGCCAACGCCAGCAGCATGCCCAGGCCCTGCTGTGCCAGTGCGGCTGCGTAGGAACCGAACCAACGGGGGCAGTTGATTCATCAGAGGATCAGTAGCTAAGGAGTCCCTTGTTCATGGTTGCCCTGCAGCCACATGATACTCAGAGGTGCTCGGTTGTGACGAGACAAAGTGGACAAGCCACATTTGCAGCTTTTCTGCGATGTAGCATGCCTGCATGAGTCCAGGCCTGAGATAGGCACCGTCGGACCCCTACTGTGGATGAAGTCTTGTTTGATTCATGAGACTGTCACTTTTGGGGTCAGAAGGCTGGGATATCTTTTGAGTTTCACTTGGTATGGCCCAGAATCGAAGTCAACATTTTGTTTGCGGGGCATATGCTGAGGTACAAACAAACCCTCACAAACAGCCCTCAAATCCCAACTCCTTGGGCTGGAGTGAGAACTGGGACTGTTTGCAGAGAGCTGGGCAAGCGCAGGTTAAAGGCCTCTCTCGAGAACCTTACGCTGATCAGGGTGGGGCTGCCTTTGAGTGGTCGTGCGCCGGAGCCTACCATTGTGTCTTTTGGGGAACCTCCCTTTTGGTTGGTTTTAACTATGTAATTAATTGTTACCATGTGTGTTCCCCGATTTTGAGACAAACGCTTGCAGCGTTTCCATGCGTTTCCATGACGTTTTCCAGACGCGCCCAGCAGCTCTTTCCGCTCGAGCTCAGTGCGCAGATGCAGGGCCATGAGAGCGCCGCAAAGGTCGGCGCCAGGTTCACCTACGTGGGCGAGGTTGTCGCCTATGAGCCCGACGGCGACTCCGGCCCCGAGGGCTCCGAGCTTGGCTTGGATGCCATTTTCCGTTGCTCGAGAGCGGTGTCCGTGGCGAGCGTGATTTGGAGGCCCTACTTCTATGCCACGTGCCAGGTGTCACTTCCACCAAAGGAGTGGGAAGTGGTAGTGCCCGCCGTGGATGACGAGGTGCCGGCGGCTTTTCAAAGTCAAGCCTGGAATGGGGAGATGCTTTGCACCCACTGTGCCTCCTTGTGTGGGTCATATACTCCCAAGAGGAAGTATATCTTCAACCATCCCATCGAGCTGCATTTGGACCATAGCCCTCTCCCCCCAGATGCGCCTACAGATCCGATTCCGCCGCGGATGATCTTTCAGGTGCTGCGCATGGATGCCTGGGAAAGGCACTTCCTGGAAGGCACAGGGGCCGCAATATTCACAAGGGTCATCCAAGCATCAGATGGCCTGCCTCAACACGGGCAACTAAGCTTGCTTCCCAAAAGGCTAAAAGACGAATGTGAACCAAGACATTCCCTCCCTTTGGCGGCCAACAAGAGGGAAAGCTAGCCAGCAGCCGGGACAGAGCTAAATGATACAAGCCTGGTTGAAGTGCGCGCCCTGAATTCGCTGGTGGGGCCAGACCGCCACACCCCCCAGGCTACACCTTCATAGATCTACCCCAGCAGCCGGGGAGCTACGACTTAACAGGCTCGGGGCCGGGCCTGAGGCGGTAGGACACTGCTTTGGCATCACACTAGGTAAGTGCATTCACAAGGAGAAGGATCTCCGCCGTTTGCGGGTTTGGGGAGAAACCGAATTGGATTTAGGCTCGTTCCCACTACCCTCCAACGGCGGCTTATTTAGAGCACGGACCCGGTTTCATCCCCTTTCCAGGCCGGCTTTGGGCACCCCTGGGCAGCTTCTGGGACCGTCTCAGCGCTGCCTTCTGCGGCGCCTTCCTGCCGTTGCTGCTGGGACGCGGTCGGGCTGGTGGGATATGGAGGGATGGCCGGGGTATGGCCGGGGTTTGGGACTTGAGAAGCCGCACTTTGCAAGGATTTGAGGGGATGTGTGTTGCATGCTGGCTGACTTGCGCTTGGCAGCAGGCATTTTGCCCGACCACAGCAACCACATCCAGCCATCCATCGGTCCATCCCTCCCTCCCTCCCTCCCTCCCTCCCTCCCTCCCTCCCTCCCTCCTTCCCCTCCCTCTCCCTCTCCCTCTCCCTCTCCCTCTCCCTCTCCCTCTCCCTCTCCCTCTCCCTCTCCCTCTCCCTCTCCCTCTCCCTCCCTCCCTCCCCTCTAATTTCTATACAGAGCCGGTGGGGATCCCCTTTGTTGGGTTTCCCCAACAAAGTATTCAGCAAGAGCATCCTTCTTTCAAGAGAAATCACAAGCCCAAAGTGTTTGCAATGAACGAGCGCAACATGGAATGTAAAGTTCATGCAAGCATGGAAGCTGGCAGGAGTTTCTGAAAAACAACTGAGTTCTCTTAAAGCGGACTGTCAACTTCTGAAATTCTTGGCAACAGGAAGCCAGTCGAGCGAATGCTAACTCCTAATCGTCCAGTTGCAGCGCTTTCGCCCTAGGCAGGCGCCGGAGCTGGTGGCTGGTGAGCAGCTGCCGAGGAACCGCTCAAGCTTGCGGGTGCGCAGCGGTGGTTTGGTGCGGGTCCGCCTCCAGGCCTCGGGAAATGACGCTGGCCCCTCAAAGTGGTTGCATTTGGAGGGATGGACCCTGCCAAGCCGTACATCCAAGCAGAAGCTTGAAGTCAAGGCTTGGCAGGCATTGCATGTTTATGGTGCCGGCGCATGAACCGCCCCCTGTCTTTTGACAGGTATTTTCTGGCCAGCAGCCTTCTGGAGCCTCTTTGTTCTCAGGTTTCAGGCCGTGGTCAGGCGCCAGCCCCTCACAGCGCCACAGGCTTCTCGCCGATGCTGGTAAGCACATCCGCTCGACGGCGTGCGCGCAGCAATGCTTCTCGTCACGACCATGGCAAGCACATCCGCCCGACTGCGCGCAGCTATGCTTATTGTCACCTATATGAAAAGCACATCCGCCCCACTGCGTGCGAGCAGCAATGCGTTTGGTTCGCGCCTGGCAAGAGCATCCGCTCGACTGCACGTGATAAACACATTCGCCCGACTGCGTGCGCGCAGCAATGCTCATTGTCACGCGCATGAGAAGCGCATCCTTTTTTACTGCGCGTGCGCAGCAATGCTTTTCGTCACGCATTTGGAAAGCGTACCCGCTCGACTGCACATGATAAGCACACCGCTCGGTAGATGCTTTTCGTCACGCCAACTCATAAGCGCATCCTATCTCCTGCGCCGTGTTGTAACGTTCAGAATAATGGCATAGCCAGATTTGATATCTGCGACGTCCGAAACTTCACCTGCCGGGGAAGAGTTTGGCTACTGTGGTTCGCCTTAGCGAAACATCAGAAACCAAAAAAAGAGAGAACACCGCCGTGCGGGGGTGAGCACACTCATGTTGACGAGTTGGGGCGCCAGTGTCCGTCTCGCTGTGAGAGGATCCCTTGGTACGCCTTTTTAGGTCCGCCTGACGGGCTCACGCATGTTTGCGCCTGTTTTTCGGCCAGGTCCTGCGCCGCGCCCCGGAGCTTGCCGAGCCGCGCCGCCGCCGCGGCCGCAGCCGCGAAAGCCGCCAGCGCCGGGAGAGCCGCGAGGGGCTGCGAAGACGCTCGCTGCGGCGAGCGGCGGAATTCAGCCCCCAGCCACGGCCGTGAAGCGAGTTTGGGATGGTCTCACTGCGACGGCCAGCAATTGGCGGACAAAATGAGTGAGGCGAATCGGTTGTTTTGTTCCCTTTAAAGAAAACAAAGTTGATTGAAGTGGACACAGGCACAGGAGGACAAAGCCTGTGTTTGGACTGACACTTTGATAGGCCCCTCTCTCATTGATGCACGGGGTTGGGGCCCACTAGGCGCCTGCCAGCCGGCAAGATTGCAGTCGTGCAGAATGCACGGGGCTGGCGGCAACCATGAGGGGCCAAATAAATGTACAAGCGAGCTCGGCCCTGCCATGTGGCAGCGGATGGGGAAAATTGCGTTGCAGATTCTGTTCGAAGAATGCAAGGCCGAACAGGCGCAACTTACTTAGGGTCATTGTAATAAGCGACCAACATGTTTGTTGCTGTTGCTGTTGCTGTTGCCGTTGTTGCTGTCGTGTTTGTTGTTTTGATGTGGTCTGCGCTCTTCTGTTTGTTGTTTGCCCTCT